ATTATTAAATCTTATTTTGTTTGTCCTCACAAAACAATCTTTATTCAAGACTATTTGAATTCTTACCATTTATAGATAACTATTTTTTTAATTTTTCATTCTAGTTTATTTCATCAATTGATTTATTTTCATTTAAGAATATGTACTAAAATATACTATGTTGAATATTTATTTCTTGCCATTTTTAGATGAGTGTTTTTATAATAAAATATATATTTCATCCGCGGATTTATTTCCATTTATACTAAAATTTATACTAAAATATACTATTTAAAATATTTACTTCTTGCCATTTTTAGATGATATTTGTATACTAATAATTATTTTTTTACTCGTTGATTTATTTACATTTATATTAAAATTAACTATGTTAAATATTTATTTCTAAATATTTTCCAAAAATAAACCCTATTGCAAAGCTATTTACTAAACTATTTATAAAAATATATACTAAAGAAAAGACGCCTCAAAGTGAGATAAGGATGTCATTTTTGAAAAAAAAAAGGATAGTGGAGGTAAAAGTTTGAGAAAAAAGCCAATAAGCAACTGCACAACGAAACACCTCCATAATAAGCTCATTATATAATAAAAGGTTCATATATAACAAATTTTTCTAAGATAAATCTAGCCTCTCAATATATAAATAAAAGCATATTTAATGAAAAATAAAAATACAAATAATATTATTCATTTCCCTTCTAGAATCTTTGACCGTGACTAATAAAAATATTTATATTTATTTATTAATTAAAATTCATATATAACAAATTTTCCTATAATAAATCTAGACCATCTCTAGAAACTTTGATAGGGATTAATAAAAGTATTTATATTTATTTTATTATAAGAGTCTATATACAACAAATTTTCTTAAAATAAATCTAGACAACAACTAAAACATTTGATCATTATAAATAAAAATATTTATATTTATTTATTTATTTATTAAAGTCCACATGTAACAATTTTTTTCTAAAATAAATTTAGACCACCCGCTGCAACTAAATGATGATGGTATTAATCTCAATATATAATAAGCTCTTTATATTAGAAAATATCCATATATAACAAATTTTCCTAAGATAAATCTAGACCTCTCCATATATAATAAAAAGCATATCTATGATGAAAAAATACAAATAATATTATGCATTTCCCTCCTAGAACCTTTGACCGTGATTAATAAAAATATTTATATTTATTAATTTATTTATTAAAATTCATATATAAAAACTTTTCCTAAAATAAATCTAACTATCCCTGGAAACTTTGACCTTGACTAACAAAAATATTTATATTTATTTATTAAAGCCCATATATAATAAACTTTCCTAACATATATCTAGATGCACGCCTGTAAATGTCGACCGCGATTAATAATATTTATATTTATTTATTAATTAAATTGTAAAGTCCACATATAACAAATTCTCCTAAAATAAGTCTAGACCTCTCCATATATATATAAAAAGTTTTAACACGTCTTTATTAATGTCAATATATAAAAACTTTTCCTGGAATAAATCTAGACCAACTCCTAGAAACTTTGAAAATGATTAATACATAGAAAATATTTATATTTATTTATTAAAGCCCATATATAAAAAAATTCCAAAAATAAATCTAGACCGCCCCTAGAAATTTGACCGTGATTAATAATAATAATTATGTTTATATTTATTTATTAAATTCCATATAAAACATTATATTCTTCCCTAAAATATATCTAAACCTCTCCATATATAATAAAAAGTCAACACATCCATGAGCGGGAAAACTGGTCAAAGAATTCACCTCTTTTTAAATAAAGTATAGATTTTTCTTATTTTTTTATTATCCTAGCTAAATCTTCATTGTCACAAATCTTCTCACGCTCCCCTCCATACCTTATTTTTTTGTGTCGTCTCATAAAATATCATCCTGCAAAGTTTTCATGTACGATTGCGTAAATGAAAACGTAGGAAGTAAGTCCTCTCTCATTCAAAATTTCTTAATTTTATGTATAAATATTTTGAATTGTAACACAATATAAGTATGTGCTGGGTAAATCGTAAGTTACTACGCCTTCAGCGCTTACTCCAAACATGATTATCAGCTTTCTTTGACACGGACAGATTCAAGAACTCAAGCAATTAGTGTCGTCAGTGCACATGGCCAAGAAAGACTTGAAGTGCTTAAACTAAAAAGAGCAAAAAAGAACATAACCTCCAATACGATAAACAGAATAAAACCATATCGATCGAGGTTAACTAACAACTCGGAGCTGCAATTCAAAAAAGGTTGCTCCATTATGGCCAAGATTATGGCACGGCTTAGTCAGTTATTCTCGCAGTGAAGATAAGGTACAAAGTGGCTAGAGAGGTACAGAGAACAGAGATTCGTTGAACATAGTTCAACTCATATTCTTGGATGATCTATTTCTCAAAGAATTCCAGATATCTATAGATACCATTAATAAGACTAGTTCTTATGGCTTCCCTTTCATTAAGAAGAATATTTAATTAAAATAGTAAATCAAGTAACCAAGATAAAGTATAAAAGTCTTATTAAATCTTTTTTCTAATTTGTTTATTTGATATATTCAATATTTTAAAAATAGTCAAATTGTATGGAAATACTTTTATTTCATATCATAATTAGTCATTTTACCATAAAGAAAAGTTTTTGGTAAAATATGCATTGAGTCAATCTTATAGGATACGTACTATCTATTTGTCTAAAAATAAAGTACACAATCATATTGACACGTATAATTCTATTAGAAAATATAATTTTAAGTCTTTTACTTATTTAATTATAAATAATAAATTTGTTTGAGTAATTTCAAAATAGTTTTTTCGAATAAGGTATTTTCTAAAATCAGTGTTATTTATGTAGTACTTCATAGTTGAGATTTATTCACTCAGTATCCTTCGTATATGTTAGTTAAATGGATGTTCAGTAGAGGAAATTTAGGTATTTTCAATATTTAAATGTAGAGTAATTTTTTAAAATGACCCTTTCGGAATATCTTTTTTCAAATTTTGGTCTCCGTTATAATAATTACTCCGTATAATTTTATCCCAATTGTGCATTTAAGAGCACCTTAATATTTTGTGTTCCTCTATTAGCCACTCATGTTCACATTAGTAAATTTCGAATGAGGATGACCTCGCCTCTGATCTCCCACTTCATATCTATGTAGAATTTTGAAAAAATCACATATGAAAGCTACATGATTTTTTTTGCAAATATTATTTTGTTGTATATATCCCATGTGAATATTTTTTTTGTTTTTTCAAAAAAGTAGTAGTTGTGACTTTAATGAAGTCAAAAATGAAATACCTATGATTATTTTAAAATATTTTTATAATTTTTCTTTGTGAAAACCCTTGCAACTATATTTGTTTTGTTGTTTAAAAATACATTCATATCAAGTGAAAAAAGATTTGGATGTCAAATACATGTGATTATTTTTACGTGATAATTTTTTAAAATTTTATGTGAAAAATGTAACTAGTTCTTATATATATAGTGAGGTGAAGAAGAAGAAGACACATGATGATGTCTCCTCCATGATACTACGATCGGCTAGTGCGCTGGGGCCTGGGAGGCGCCGTTTGCACAGTTTCCCTAATTGGGACTAATTTGGTCCCAATCGGGGTAAATTTTTTGGTCTAACTTTTTCCGAATTAAAATTCAATTGTATCGTTGTGACCAGACAGTCAAACTCTACACAACATATAATTTGCATTATTTATTGACAAACTTTTTAAAACACTTACTCCATCCGTCTCCTTGTATTTGTCCACATTTGACTTTTGGAACTGTTCATCTAAGCACTTTGACTCATCAAATTTTCTCAATGTGTAAGCCTAAATATAGTCATGTGTAATCTTGTTTGATTTGTCTTAACATATAGATTATTAATATATAATTTTTATAATTTTTTAACATACAAATTACAAGATAAAATGGATTAAAGAAGTGCATTGAATGATGTGTAAAAATGAAAGTGGACAAATACAGGGGGACGGAGGGAGTATTTTTTAATCATTCTAGAGAATAATTAATTATCAATTAATTAATTCTGATAAACCTATTTTTGAAGCATTAGAGAGAATACATAGTAAAATAAAACAAAAAATAATAAAGTACTAGTAAATTCTTTGCACGGGAAAGTCCTCAAGGTTCTTCTTTTGTTACTTTGAAAGGACAAAGGAGTATTAAAAAATAAAAAATAACAAATCTTTTTTTATTTGATACGGTCCTTTTTCGTTCATTTCTCATATCATAAAAAATTGAATTTTTGAAACTATTTTTTTAAAAAAATTAAAGAACCTTTACAAAAAAGGAAATAAGGTGAAAAATGAAAACAAAAAATAGACAAAAAAATTGATGGACCTACAAATTATTACCTTAAAACGTTCAGGGAAAAATAGAAAAAACATACTCTATCCGTCCCCAATTTGATTACAAATTGCGGGTTACGGAGTAAAATTTTCTACTTTTTGAAATCATTTTATTTATTAATTGGTATATCAATAAGATATAAAAATTACGTAGTACATATTAAAAAACTACGTCAAAAGTTCTACAAAACAAGAGATGACAAGAATATTTTATTTTATCAAATACTTAATGAAATTACATAAAAAAGAGAGAAAAAAATTATAATCTATATAGAAACGGAAAGAGTATTTATTAGTGTCTATGAATGAAATATGGGAGGGAATGTCCCTTTCAATCATTGCAAATAAATTTAGGACCATGCTACACTTACACAAAAAAATGTACCTCATTTGTACACCATAGTTATGCACAAACATTTTGATGGTTTACACTGACACAAGTGTTGGTGCGTTAACAAAAATTTACACGGACACAAAGTGTTGGTTCATTAATAAAAATTAGTTTTACACCAACACAAAATGTTGGTGCAAACCTGCGGGGTACAAATTGGGGTATAAATATTGGGTAGCTTAATCCATAAATTTAAGAACCTATGGGCCTTTTTGTAACTAAAGGGATATGAGAGTATTTCGATCGAAATCTTGTCTGGATCACCGTCATTGTTTCCCGGGTCATCGTTTAGCCCCCGAGCATGTCCGCTGCACCTGAAACCCTAATCATTGACTCTACAGCCATCTACATCGCCGCTCTCAATACCATCAATTGCCAAAAGCTAGCGTCTTCTTTTCGCCTCTGCCCTTTACCGTCGTCCACTATCCCTCAGACGAAACGTATTCCAAAAACTCGCTTCATTGTTGATGGCTTCAAACACGCCGGCGATTTCTCCGTCTCGTACTTCCTCTCCCATTTTAACTCCGATCACTGTGCCGGCCTCTATCCCAATTGGAAAAGGGGCATTATTTTTTGCTCATATATCACTGCTCGCCTCCTTGTCCAAGTCCTTCAAGTCCCGGCCCCTTTTGTGGTTTCTCTGCCTCTCTCAAAGCAGATATTAATTGACGGCTGCGAAGTATTTCTCGTGGATGCTAACTATTGCCCAGGAGCAGTTCAATTCCTATTCAAGATACCTGTTCCTAATATTAATGGAAAGTTTGAGCGATATGTTCATGCAGGTGCTTTTCGGCATCACGCTTCCATGGAATTAGATCCTGCCCTAAGTACATTTGTTGGTTCTGATACTTTGTTTCTCGATGCTACGTATTATAATCCGAAATATGTGTTACCCAGTAAAGAGGTGGCGATTGATTACATAATTCGCATTATAGAGTCGAATGGGGTTGAGAAAGAAGCCTCACCTAAGAGTGTTCTGTTTCTCCTTTCAACCTATGGTATTGGGAAAGAGAAGATATTGATAGATATTGCACAAAGATGTAAGAGGAAGGTCTGTGTGAAAAGTCGGAAAGTGTTGGGCCTGAGAGACTTGGGTCATGGGGATGAAGTGTTTACAGAAGATGAATCCACGACTGATATTCATGTTGTGAGTTGCGATGAATTGGGTGAAACATGGCCTCTTTTTAGGCCTAATTTTGTGAGAGTGCAGGATATTATGAAAGAGAAGAAGTTTTCAAAACTTGTGGGCTTTGTTCCAACTTGCTGGAGCTACAATGTAGAGGGGAGTAAGTTTTCAGTGAGGAAGAAAGACTCCCTTGAAATACATCTTGTGCCATATAGTGAACATTCAAACTATGATGAGCTTAGAGAATATGTGAAGTTTTTAAAACCAAAGTGTGTTATTCCTACCTTAGGTCTAGATGTTGAGAAGCTCGATAGAAAATGTGCTAATGCTAGGAATACAAATTTTGTGGGGTTGGTTGATGAAATGGATGTTAAACAAGATTCTCATTGTGTGTTGCAAGGAGTGGATGCGAATATTGTGAAAGGTTCTGCTTATGATGTAAGGATACTGGAGCTACAGATTGAGGCTTCTTCATCAGATGCCAAAGAAAGTAAAGATGATAATATGGAGAATATCGACACTTCGCATGCACAGAAAGAATCTAATTTACTTATTTCGGGTTTTATGGATGATGATGCCATGGAGGAATCTATACAAGAACTTCAAGTAATTTTGCCATCTTGGGTCATTCGAGCACAGATGCTGTATTTGCTCAGAATTACAGACAGAAGTCTAGTTGATGCAGTTTCTCATTTTTATGAGCATGAAACTGAATTTCAGGAACAGGTAAGTACTAGCAAGTCTAGTGCATCCTTATCCCAAGAAATATGTAAGATTGATTTTTCATTACCTTCCAAACTTGTACAGAGTGAATTACCACTTTCAGAGCCATGGCCTATTAAGAACATTGGAAGAAATGAAATTGTATCTCTGAGTCAAAGTCCTGGTAAAAAATATAAATCTATTAGTAAGAAGAAGTCGGGTGCCAGTAGTAATTCTTCTAGTAAGATAAAGAGCAATACAATATCCAAATCCTCTAAAAGAGCAAAACTGAATTCTAAGATGGATTCTAGTGGATCAAAGCAATGCACCATAACAAACTTCTTCAGAAAAGTAGGGGCTTGTGACTCCAAAACAGAAAGTGTTCGTAACCAGAATTGAGTATTGCCAAAACAGTGAATGCAACCAGCCAACCACAAAACCATATAGAGATGAGATATATGACTTTATTTAAATTGTTAATGGAAGTGAGTCATTAGAAAGCCATGCTGCTAGTATACTTAAAGGCCAAACGAGACATCAGTAGGGCATGTGCATTGGATATATTCTTTAACCATGCGATTGTGAAACAAGAAGTCCAAGATGGTATTGTTTTGTGGGTCAAATATCATTGGGTTCCAAAGATGCATTCTTTTCAAGATTCAAAGCCTTCCAAACAAAGCTGGTGCTGATGGTTACTTTCCTTTGAATGGCATTATTGGAGAACATTGCTGAAAATGATATCTCCCTCCAAAATAGGTTCGGCTGTCAAACATGGTTGGTATTCCCTATTGAGCTGTTACTAACCACAATATATTGCTTATGTCACTATGAGTAGCAATATTGATATATTTCTTTTTTAGCAAGTGGCTTTCCTCTTCCAGTCTTCCTTCCATTCTCAGCTTCCTGGAGTGGACACATACTTTTGAACTCGTTGAGGAGGAAAGAGGAAAGAGAAAAGGTACATCAATGTATTTTGAACAACAAAATGAACTTAATTTATGGTTGATTAGAAATGGGGCCTGTTCTATGCAAAAACCACATGCAGAGCATGGTCATTTTTTATCGCTGTCGTAGGGAGTCAATCTCAGGTTTACCCATTTGGCACTCACCTCACAACCACCCTGGCATCAGGTTTACCCATTTGGCACTCACCCATTTGGTTCGGGTTTGTATTGGTTTGGGTTCATATTGGATCGGGTTTATATCGGTTTGGGTTTGTATCGATTTGGGTTTGTGCACTACAAAAAAATGACTTTTTGTGGCTAACTTTTAGTAGCAAAGTTAATATTTGCCACAATATATGAATAGTCTATAAATATTTGTGGCAATTCTAAATTTGCCACAAAATAGTATACTTATTGTAGCAATTTTATAAATATGCCACTAAATCTAAATAAGTGTGGAGGGAAAATATTAAAGGAATTAATTTATACAAATTTACGGAAGTTATTTTCCTAATCCCGCCTAACCCAAATTGTGAAATATTAATCCCTCCATAATTTAGGTCTGCCATGTAAGGCTGTGTCTATCTTCTCCCAAAGCCAAAGCGATTTCACGCCCAGAAGCGAGAGACGATTGTAATATACGGAGAATATTTCCAATTGCTGCAGCGCAATAGCCTATATTTCAATCTGGACAGCGCAATAGCCTATGTTTCTTCGATTCTGGAACGACGACACACCCAAACTCCGGAGCTAGGTATTTATTCTAAAAAATATTCAAGTTTTTGTTTGTGTTTTAGTATAAATTCTCGTTATTTAAGAAATATGAATTCAGAGATGTTCACTCTTCATAGTTGAATCTTGATTTTAAATTTCAATTATTCAAGAATTTTTTTGTTCTATAAGAGTGAATATCCTAGATGGATTTTGAGTTTTTAATCAGTATCCATCCTTGTTCTTCCTCTAATTGTTTTTCATAGTCATAATCTCAGTGAATTTTGGTTTAAAATTTCCATAGTTTAAGAAATTTTATTTTGTTCAATAAGAGTGAATATCATAGAGGTGTTTTTTTTGAATCAAAATTCCTCCCTCTTATTCTTCTTCTGCTTGTTTTTTCATAGCCATGATCTCAGTCCACTGTTAATTATGAATGATTCTGGATTTATTGGAATCAATATCTGGTCTTAATGTTATGCTATGCTCCCATTGTCACAGACCATAATGTCACTTTGTTCACCACTCTTTTCCATATATTTTGGTCAAATAGTGTGGTAAAAAGTACTCCGTAATTAAATTTCATACTTAAGATATCATTTCATCATATTATTAATACGATGTGAAATTTTAGGTCATCTCAAGTTTAGAAAACTTCATTTAGGTCATTGCAGCATGCTCACCCAGAAAAATGCCGAATGACGGTTACTCATAACAGATCACAGTATCATTCAGAATATTTTACCCATTTAAGCTATTATCTGAGCATTTTCACCTTATCTGGTTTATTGACATTGATCTCTACTTTCAAAGTACAAAAGCAGTAAACAAAGTAAAATCAGCTAAAAGGCCATATAAACTACCTTGTAACCCTTAAAGTGCTTTAAAAATAAAAGTAATGATAATAAGTGTTAATATGCTAAAGAAATTAAAGGAACAACATCATTAGCATTTATTAACCAAGACAAACTAAAAGTGCAGGATGTACCTTTCTAGTTCACCTTCACTGAAAACATGATAATATCTGTTATACACCACAGCACCCTTCTTGTCATCTTTCTTTGCTAGTCCACTCCCAACGGCAGAAGCAGAATCATGAATGATTCTGGATAAGCAGCATTTATACAAAATTTGCCTTCTAGACTTTCCTCTGAACTTTTCTAAAAGTTTCCGGTGGAGGTTGGTTCTTGGAATCAATGTCTTGAAACCGATGGAAAAGTTTGGAATTGTAGGCAGCTCACCCTTGAAGACCTTAAGCTGAGAAACATGACTTACGGCATGAAAATTGACCTGGGATGAGATTCCATACTATTTGCTACTCTTCCCTTGCAGGTGCTGGTTTGGGGAGGCCCAATAAACTTTGGTCCCCTCATCTCAAGACTTGTTTGTTACACACTACTCTATTTTAGGATTGTAATTTAAGTCAAGCCCAATCTCTACATACAAAATCCTTGTCAGATCTATGTGAATTGGCTAGCTGCTACAACCCTTATTTGGTAGTATCGAATTCCTAAAGCCCTCCTTCTAAATACATCTTTCCAAACTTCAGTAGGAACTTGCAAAGGTTGAACTAGTCCAAGGTAGGCCGAGTCACCATCCCTGTACTCGTGACAATCTGAGTTTTTGTTAAATTAAATAGCTGCCTCTATTTATTTGATCCAGTATGTATTAGTTTTTCCTCTGATTTAGCAACTTCAGCCCCCTCTACAACTAGTTCAGCCCTCTTCTTAACGTATTTTTGACCCCTCTCAAAGGCCTTGTGATCATAACATCATAGTCCACTTGCAACTAGAATACTCTTGGTATTAACCACACTTGCAGCAGGCTTAAACGTGGCTCCGACCTCATTTGGTATGAACCTTTCTATGGATAAACTAACAGATTTAATATGAAGAGAGCCTCTATGCCTGTCAGATACTAGCTTAACCAGCCTGCCTTGCTCTTCTATTTCATCTGGAATAACCCTAAGTGTTGGGAGTAAGGCCTTACTGATGTTGAATATTGGCTTAATTTGTCTTGTTTCCTCTTGGCCACTAGCATACTCCTCAGTTTTGCATAGGATCCAGGGTTAAAGGTCCCTATATTGGCCTTACGACGGGGCTTGAATCCTCTTACAACACTGTCCAAAATTTAATCCCCCGTTAGTGATTGACTCTTCAGCGTCATAACAGCTTTCGGTTTTTCACACTTGCCAACATCCTCCACGCTTTCTATTTGCTGGTTTTTGAACCTAGAACATATCTGAACCTAGAATTTAGATCTTCCACAAAATCCTCCCAATTAAAGCTATGTTTTGATCCTTGATTATCTCTGAATGTAGAACTCAGACCTACCACAAAATCCTCCAAATTGATGTTAGGTCTACCCATCGCATAACTATCGAACCATAATTTGGCTTTTCCAATCATATCCACAAAAGTTAAATGTTTTTTTAATGAATATAATTTATTAAGAAAAGAGGAGGAGTACAAGAGAGGGGTGCAAACCGGCTAAAGAAAACCAAGTACATGAATGGATCAGTTACAAAACATACAAATACAAGAAATGAACCTCTCCACTGCCTGAGGGGAGTGCTGCGAGTGGGTACCTGAGAATCTACTATGGGGGCTGCGATTGAATCGATTGGAAGTGTTTCAATAGGGCAAAGTGAACCTGCCCATAAAAGTTCTTGAGATAAAAAGCTGCATAGCAAATCTTCACCTCTGTTTTTTAGGAGCCCCTATTAATGAACTATATTATGAACTATGTCATTGTTTTCCAACATCATGTAACAGGTTTGAGAGGAAATATAATGTACAAGTTTAGCATAGAGTAGGCTTGATTACCATACTTGTGCTTTATATGAGCTAATTGTTATATATGACTTGATTATGCTTTAAGGTTGCATCGAAAATCATTTTCTGTTCAAGATAACTACCTCTTTGCAAGTGCACAATTATGTCTTCCAGGTATGCTCACTATTTTTTTTAATTATCATACAATTCATTATGGCTTTATTGCTAAGAATTTTTTTTATATCCTTTGGTGTTTATTATTTAGTAAATTACTACACGTTAAATGGTAGGCATCTTCTCCTTCCCTAAACAACTCCATCGCGGATCCCTCCGCCTCCGGAGTCTCCTCCCCTTCTAACATTAACTCAACAAAGAATCTCTTCGGGCTTAATAAGCCTAAGTGCGGCAACGTCGCTCGGTCTTGGTCTAGGTAAGATCTCTGTCATTTGTGCGAGGTTGATGGCCGGGGACTTCAATTTGAGAATTTGTGTTCGTGCTTTTGTTTTGTTTATTTCTTTGTGCTACATTTTGTGTCAATAAAAGATCTTGGAAAAAGGTGACATACACAATTAACGGCTCAGTCTTATGTTTTAGTGCAATTGGGTGATTCTAACTAAAGTGTTAGTTTTTGTTTTCCACCATACTTGAATACAGAGTACTTTTTATATGCTCTGCCTTTTTCCCACTCAATAAGTTAGGGTTATATAATGATAATTTGGGTCACTACATTCAGCATCCAGAATTGCAGAGGCGGTCAATTTTGAATCTTCAGTTCCTATCTGCTACACCGCTTGCTTTGGTGGTTGAGTTTGTAGTGCAAACTTGAAACTTTGAACCTAACACTGATTGGTTTTTGGTTATGAAATGTGGGGTTATATTTTAGTGTCTGAGTAACCTCTAAATATGTCTTGCAAAGCATGACATATAGTGTCTGAGTAACCTCTAATAGTGTCTGAGTAAACTTTGAACCTAACACTGATTGGTTTTAGGTTATGAAACATGGCGTTACAAGGACAGTACAAACATGGTTCCTTATAATTACAGGTTTATTTTCGTAGAGTTTTAGAGTTTTATTTTCTTAGAATTCTTTGGTTATTACGTATAATATTATACATACATTTCTTTGAAGTAAAATTTAATAAATAACACTAATACGGAGTATTTATTATTAGTGTCATTTAACTCTTTTGTATATTTCCCATAGATATCTGATCATGCCTTTAGCTTTGGTTGCTATGGACTATGGTCATTCTAAACACTATTTAATTTGTCTTATACGTGCCCTGCTTACTAGATTATTTCTTTATTAATTTTATTTTTTTAATATGCAGATCAAGGGTAACGAGAGATGCCATTCAGTTTCAGTTTCTACGACTTTGGGTGGAATTACATTTGAGATAGATGTGACAATAAGCGTTTAGGATACTATAACAATTTTGTCATGTTTAGTACTATATTTATTTTATGTCAAAACCCTATTATATTGTGAACCTTTGATAGTTTGGGATTGAATTATGAGTAGCATATATGTTTTGTTTTTATTATTATTTTACATCACTTTGCATATATTATTAAATGTAAAATTAATGTATGTACAATACAAATATATATATATATACTAATAATAATAATAATAATAATAATACTTTATTAATTCTCACTAATATTAGGTTTGGCACAAAAAAGTGATAATTGTAGCAATTAATATTTGCTACTAAACATGGATTTTTGTGGCAAAGTATAATTTGTGGCATTATAAATTTGCTACTAAATATGACTTTTTGTAGCAAATAATAAATTGTGGCAACTAAAATATGCCACTAAACATGACCTTTTGTGGCAAATTTTTATTAGTGGCAAATCATAATTTGCCACAAAAACTATAATTTTTGTGGCAAATTTAAATTTGCCACAAATAGCTTTTGTAACGGGGTATCTGTGGCAACCTTGTGGCAAATTCCAAAATTGCTACAAATAACTATTGTGGCTAATTTTTTATGTTTTGTGGAAAAATTTGGTGCCACAAAATGTCAAGTTTTTTGTAGTGGCGTGTCGGTTTGGATTTATATCGATTCGCGTTTGTATCGGTTTAGGTTTATATTAGTTCAAGTATATCTTAAATGTACACTAATAAATCAATAATATCACATAATAAATTTAGTCAATTTATTTCATACTTTGTAGTTATTGTATTATCATTTAACACAGACGTACATAAAAAATAACACTTACATAATTAACTAATTGTTTACATTCTAAAGTTTTCTCTCTTAATGTTTTTGGTGCGACCTTTTTAGTTAACATTTTACTTCGTACTTCTTCTATTTCTATTTAACTATCCATTTCACTTTGTGTGTCAAATATTTAAATAACTATGTATAAAAATATATAATGAATTAAAACATACAGAGTAAAAGTTATAACCAAATTGTTGGTATCGAAAAATACTTTGAATGTACTATTTTTAATATTTTTGAAGAGACGATGTTGGCCAAACCTTAAGTTCAAAGACGATAAAATACAAAAACACTTTAACTTAAGTTATAAAATACAGATTAAAAGATTTGTATATGAAAGTAGTTGAACGATTTGCACCCATAATTTAAATATGTTTTTTTAGAAACACATCCACATATGTAAAAATATATTGGCAATTATTTTTCACCAAGTTCATTTGATAAATGAAATATTAATAAATTTGATCAATTTCGGGTCTAATCGGTTCCGGGTTTAATCGATTTCAGGTTTAACCGATTCGGGTTAAATCGGATTCGAATCGGAATCAGGTCCGAATACATTTGGTTCGGTTCGGATCATTTCGGGTGTTTGGTTCTATTTCGGGTCAATTCAGGTTCTCTTCCGAGTTATTCGGTTCGTGTTATCAGGTCCGAGTCAATTTTGCCAGGTCTAGCATTAACCATGTGTTTCGCACATGCTCGTATAGATTTAAAATTTTTGACATTCTATTCATAAGGATTTATATATTTAAGTTATTTAATAAAATTATTGTAATACTCTAATCCGTTCAGGTCTGCAGCCTCTTTCGGACTAAAATACAAATTTGGTATTCACTAATATTCAAAATATTTCAAACATTTTAAAACTTTCTTCCATAATAATTTATTTTGAATAATAACGGAGTAATTTTAAAGTTGCGGAAGCTTAATAAATAACAATTACAAACATAATAAATTTATGTCTTTTAGGCTATCAAGTAATTTAATTAAAAAAATTTTAAAACTACAGAATATTCAAAAACGCCATTTTGAAATTTACAGAATTTTAAAATGATATATTATCGTAAATACAGGTATTAATTTCGAAGTTGGGATTTTAATTCAAAATAAATACTTATACCTTTTGAAAATTAATAAATAAATTCCAGAATGTATGTTTTGATTTATCTAATCTGAAAACAAAATTTCCAGAATTAATAAAGTATTATTTTTGGATCTATACAATTAGTGGCGTAGAGACATAAATTAATTTCCAAAATTGATTTTGAATATTCCCATTATTCCAAAAATAAATATTTTTCAAAAATAGAGATTTTGTCTCATACCAAATCTGAAAACCAAATTTCAAGATTTTATAAAATATTATTTCTAATTTATAAAATTTAATTGGTAGGAAACCAAATTAATTTCTAAAAATTAATTCTAGATATTAAAAAATTCCAAAACTAATTATTTTCAAAAAATAAAGATTTTGTCTACTACTTGATCATGGAAATTGAATTTCCAAATTATATAAATTTTATTTTCAAAATTTTCATACTTATCCTTTTAGGAATGGAATTAATTTCCAAAATCAATTCTAAATATTCAAAATATTCCAAAAATACATATTTTTCCAAAATTAAAAATATGAATTATTATACATGGAATCTAAAAATAATTTCAATAAATTATTTTCATAAATCATAAATTTCGAAAAATCTATATTTCATAAATGTGCTGATTTACGTTCCAATATAATAATTTTTAATAAAATAAATATTATATTTATATTTAATTAATAATTAACACGGTAATTCTAAGATTACCGAAATTAGATTATTAATAAATACAAAATAATTATTTTAAGTTAAGGATATATTCCCAAATAATTTTATAATATTTGAAAATCATATTTCCAAATTTATAAAATTATATATTTGGACACTACTGCCAAAGGAAGCTTTGGTGCTAGCATCAATGTAGCGTGGCCTACATCATTGTTAGAAAACCTTCTGCCAGACTCATGATTTCTAAACTTTAGACTTAACATCGCTGTAGCAGAATCCGAGACAATGGATTTTACATTCTTCCTTCTGATTGGTCGTCGAATGGGGTTCTCATCGTCAGAGTCGTCTAGGGTGAAGGGAGACCTTTGTTCCGAAGAGCCGATAGTCTCATCGGCCTCAATTTTTTCTTACTCCTATAAATTTCTTCTTACTTCTTCCAATTTCTTCAAACAACGACTAAAAAAAAGTATTTTCATATGATGAATATACAATAAAATCATATTTCTAAATTTATAGTATAACACCTCAGACACGGACAAATATGAATTTTTTTTCATCCAAAATTAGTTTTATTGCATATGTTTTCTGTAATTACTTAATTGAGTGATTTTTTTAACATTTTATTTTTTCTAACATTTTCCAACTTCAATTTTTTTCAAACCAGTTTCTTCCAACTTCTCCCAACATCCAACTCTATTTTTTGAATCCAAACAAACAAAGCCTAAAACTCACTCAACATGTCTATTCAAGTACCATTGAAGGACCTGCCACTGGATGTCTTTGCACTAAAATAGAAAGTTGCAGCAACCATCAAAAACCAAGATAAAGAACACAAGTGCTGTTCTCTAACTATTTACATTGTGCATAGCTCACAACTAAGTAGAGCATATCATATAATGTAGTACTAGTAATGACTAAAATAAAAAACCAAAAATTGCCAGTGAGAGAGAGTCATCTAGAAGCTTTGAGCAAAGGTAGTATGTTTATCATCAGAGGGAGCACGGAAGGCGTTATCTTCAACCTCTGTGACGAATGGTTTGTGTTCTAGAGTGGCTTTCAACCCATCGCTTTTGATTTTGACGGCTTCAGCCTGATCTGCAAATAAGATTTTTGAAAGAGGTGAAATGCAAACTTGTCTGTAAACCTCATAGTCTGCAGCACGCGAGCAGCCACCCTCTAAAAGCCTTGAGAGAGGATGCAAAACTGACAACGGACCATTATTCTTCCCTAGCATTTCCATCAAATCAAGGAACTCCAAAGCCGCTTCGGTTTGGCTGAACTGAACAAATACAGCAGTTTTGTCTATGGAGTAGATGGAAGAAACAGAGTTTTGACCAAATGCCCTTGATATGCATTCTCTAATGTCACTTGGTTTTAGAGTATTTTGTAAGCCCCACAGCACAACAATTTTTTGAAAATCAATTTGCCTGTACTGAGTTTTGAGAGAGGCAGAAGCCAAACGGTCTGCATTACACGTTCCAGTTCTTAGGTCAATTACATCTCCACTAACCCAAGAAAGATAGAGAAGATTGACGTATTTTTGAAGTTTCTTTTCATCAGCTAGACCAAGTGGGGATGAATTCATGTTAAACTCAACTCCCAGACGACTGCATGCCTGAGCAAATATGCATCCTGTCATAAATGCATCATAGCCAGCCTCATGTTTGGTTCCAGAGTTCCAGTTCAGCAACCTGCATATATGAAGATTAGTCACTAAAGAAGCCATATCATAGATGATCAATCAAAAATACCATAATGTTAACACTTCCAATAATCCAGTGGCAGGCTGAGATCATCAAATGGAAGGAATCCCAAACAAGTAAATAATTTAGGGAAGCAAACCTCTTCTCGTCCACTTGAACCTCCACCTCAACACACCCTAAACTATAGCCCTTCACACCTGATGCAATTCCAGGACAAACAGATGCAAATGCTTTGGATAGTGATGTGCTGCTTTTCTTCATTGAGGACTGAAAAGAGTCATTTGCATTCAAAAGTACCTTTGTGTCCATTATGTAGGGAAAGTAGTTTCGAAGAGAGGTAGCGTACTCTTCAGCACTGCAAGGGAGTTGGCCGATGAACTTGCCATATATATGAGCAAAGTCTGTATCATGTTAAAGCATATGAGTGAATGAAGAACAACAATGGTAATACCAGAACAAAAAACTAAGGACTGTTTTACCAAGAAAGCAATTGTGACCAACAATCAGCTTCTTCTCAGATGAAAGAAGATCAATAACATTTCGAAACCCAGCTGCAGATTTTACTTTTCTTTTTGCTTCCTTAAGAATACAGTCCTTTACTTCCTTCTACACAATATAAATATACATATAGAGTTTGGTTAGATAGTGTTGAGCATCAAGAGAAAGACCAAAGAAAGAAGTTAACTTCTCGGCCTGATCATTTTTAGCTCTTCTCCACATATGAAGCTGACCATATACTTCCTTGTCCACAATATAAATATACATGTAGAGTATGGTTAGATAGTGTTGAGCATCAAGAGACTGACCAAAGAAAGAAGTCAACTTCTCGGCCTGGTCATTTTTAATTAGCTTCTCCACATATGAAGATGACCATATGGTTCAATATGGCCTATTTTTATAAAATAATACTCCTTCCGTCCATGTTTAAGTTCTGCTTTTTCACTGGGACGAAGGGAGTAAATATTAGCTTCTTCCAATAGTTCGAATTTTTCCTTCTATGAAGGGTCTAAGGAGAAAGACTCTAATCCTTAAGGAGGTAAGAATGTAAGATCTGCATGCATATCACCATCCCCATACCCTACTCCTTAGTGGGTTACCCTGATTGTTTGGTTAAGTTTAGTGCTCAAATGAAAAAAAACATTATCAAGTTGAAGAAAATGTGAGAGTAAATACCCTAAACACCACTAATATTACTCTTCTTGTCCGTGCATAAAAGTCCAGAGTAACACAGAAATCTTGCGGATCCCTAAGAAAAAGGTTGATTTCAAAGCCTGACACTCACCAAATAGTCGATTGAATAACCTTTCACTCCCTCAGCCCCGCCTAGTCAAACACACATACATACACCAGTACACGCATGCACACAGAGATCAGTTTTAAGAAAAGCTCCAATAGCAGCATAGAGCATCAGTATCAAAAGAGCAGGATTGAATCCTACCATAAGCAAACCCATGTCCTCTTTGGAATCGGTATAAACAACTAAATGCCTTGGACACAAAGTTTCATCAATATGGACACGAACAAATGCAAGATCTTTGAAATGGTTTTCTGTGACCTGCATAAATAACTAGTCATAAAAAATACATAATGAATTGAATGAAACAAGAATATGAAAAGCAAGACTTTCCATTAAACCATGGATGACCTTAGTTCTAATTTTTGCTCCACTGTGAGAATATTTTTTCATATGTATTAATCGAAACAAAAGAAGTAAATTTACCAACTGAATTAACTTCTTCTGGTGAGAAGTAAACCCGTTAAGGACAAATGCTGGGCGATTTTTGAAGAAAGTAGTCTCATATCTCTTATCTGAATTATTTGATGTCCGTGGAAATATGTAATTACTATTGCTCCCATGTAACAAACCATCACGCCATTCACGGATCTTGATTTTCATTCGCTCAGCAAATAGAACATCTTCCATTCTAGAAAATTGCATGTCTCCAACTTTTCTTGAGCCAGATAAGGAATCAAAAGATTCATCCATGCACATTGAACTTAGGTGTTTCAATGCTATGGTTTCTTGCAATCTGGATGAATATGAGACCCCTGAAATTGTGAAAAGAAGCAACATCTCAAAATTTTCGTAACGGTTTGGGTTATTGCATAATTTTGAAAAATCTAGACTTCCAGATTACTATTATTTTTTTAATAAGATTTTGTAGTATATGAATGCATATTTTTATGTCCTGCAATTACAAGCTAGACCAGTCCCACCTCAAAGTAAAATGGTGGAATGGAGACTCCCAAAGGAGACTAAACATTTTCCACAGAATTTAATACTCTAAAGAAAGTACAAGAACAACATACAATAACAAGGAGAGAAAAAAGATTGTAATAAATACCTTCACTCAAACATTTATTGAAATCAAACTGATATTTGGACAAGAAATCAAGAGATGTTGTCTGGCATAAGAACTCATATGATTGGTCATTTCCAGGTTTTTCTTGATGTGGGAATATGTAAAAGTTATGTCTGCGAAAGAGCAAATTAGAATGTACACAGTTACCTAATAAAAACATCAATACTGTCAAAAGGCTAACAGATCCAAACCTCATTCATTCTAACTTCTTAGTTCTTTTACAAGCACCTTGCTGGACACCAGACATCGTGTTATCTATTCCATCCTCAGATTCGAATATATGATACAAAAATTCTATTTCCTTCTTCAGAGTTGACAACGACGGAATAAAAAATTACATGTTTGTCAATTCATGTGGTTTGTTCTGCGAATCTGAGTGCCATTTTAAAAATTATAGTTCCTTTATCTTAATATTCTTCTTTGAATTAAAACAAACTCTTTTTTCCTAGAAAAAGAGCATAATGCAATTGCACACATAATGATCCAAAACGGAGAAGTCACACATACGGATGAGCAATGAAGAACTTCTGGAGAGAGTCCCATCGGAATGGACAAACGCCCAACTGAATGACGGCAAACTTCTCGGCGGAGTCTTTGACTTTGAGGTACTGAATGTCAGAGCTGTCGAACTCGAAGGACTCCCTCCATGGAGCGCTGGCGACTCCAGTCATTTCCAGGTCGATTGCAACGAAGTCTGCATCTCGGATGAGGGGGCGCAAATCTTCAAGGGCGGAGTCGAAGTTCGATTTCGTGACATTCTTCAGGGCGAAGGTCGAGAAGAAGGATCGAACACGGTTTTGAGGACGGGGTGGTGGTACTAGGGTATTGTATAAAGCCCTAACCATCCATGGTTTCCACATCCTTCTCCTTCCTTCATATGTTTTCTTCCCGGCCACCGCCTGTCACTCAGGTGTAAATAGAAAACAAGATGGGTGAGTCCCAAACTTATTGAAGAACTCAAAAATATTACTCCGGGATATGAAATAAAGTTGAAAATGTTTTAATGTTTATGGCTATCAAGTTTATGCTTTAGTCCGAAAGGGGCTGTAGGTCTGGACAGATTAGGGTGTTACAATCGTTCTTGTCCGACTAAGAGCGATATTCCAATCGAGATAATTTACACCATCACAAAATATATCCGAACTGAAACATATCCAAACCGAACTAGATTCAAAACTGAAATATATCCGATCCAAATTGTATCCAAACTGAAATCTATCCAGACCGAGTTATATCCGAACATTATGTGAACCGGCTCGAAATCGAAAAATTTATAGAATCAATTCGAATTTGAACCGAAATTAGACCGATCCAAACCGGATCAATTATAAAGCATATCCAAAATCTGAATCGAAAAAATCCAATTCAGAACGGAAAATTTACCTAAATAGGACTAAAATATAATGACTTTCTCAATATAGGACCATATGTTTTTATTTCCCAATGTAGGACCATTAGTTATTATCCATTAGTCATCATTCAAGTAATTGTTCAATAGATATTATTAAGTACTCTTTAGAAAATAAAAAAGTTTAATTCTTATATCAAGAAATGATTTATGTTTTTGTTCTAGTGCAAATTTTTATTTGTTGAATTCCACTTGGGCGTCATTGTGGGCCTTGTGCGCTTGTGGCAACCGTAATTAATTCATGGGACTACAGGAGTGAAAGAAACTCGTGAAAAACGCCTCTCCGGTCCTCCGGATTTAGAAGTCTCCCCAAATCATTTTCTGGTCCACTGTAGTTTAATTTGTCCATCATGCTGTCAAGAAGTAGAAATTGAGTGAAGCTTTCGTCCAAAAAAAAAAAGGAAGAAGTGGAATGGAGCTTTGATTGGGTGGCGGGGGGGCAATATGGAGAGGGGAGAGATAGAAGAGAGTACAGTGGGACTGCTGAGGAGGACGGCCACTGGTAGTAGTAGCACAGGGGAGTCAAGGTGGGTGAATGGGAGCGAGGTGGACTCGGAGTCAGCTCCATGGTATGGCGACGAGGAGATCCCAGAATCGTATGGATCTATTCGGAGGAGGCTTGCCAAGAAACCCAAGAGAGTTAATTCTTTTGATGTTGAAGCCATGGAGATTCAAGGCAGTCATGCCCACCATAAGAAGGTCTTAAAAAAATCCAATCTTTGAGTGTTTCCCACTGTCCTGTCTTTGTCTGTTTCACTCTTGCATACATTTTTTCTTTTACTTGGTGAGGGTATTGATATTGCCAATTTGTTTAAATTTGAATAGTTCTCGAGGTTTTCCATGGGTGATTTGGTTCCATCTTGTTTCCTAATTCGTCTTGCGGGCTGGTTGCTACTTGCAGCTAGCTCTCACGTGCTGTGTGTATAACAGCTATGGGAATATTGTGGGATCGGTATTAGAGTCTTGATCAAGAAGTTGTATTTATGGAATGTTAATATGCCCTGCTATGGCGGGTAATCTTACTATATTACTCTTAGTTTCTTGAATGAGGTTTAGTTTATTTATTGACAATGCTTTAGCTTTAGCTTCCGGTAAATAGTAGACTAGATCCAAATGATACATTTAATTTCCCTTTCTTTTAACTCTTTATGAAGTTTTAAGGATTAAATGCAGCAATGCGTCAAGTGAGTTTTGGGTAGAGAGTAAACACTGCGAATGTAAATAAGATTCATGTGCTTTACTGTTGTGCTAAAATTGGTTGTATACAATGCTTTGCTAAATCCTATGAAGGGTTATGGTAATATTTCTTGACCATTTCCTAAATTCTATTACTTGAATTAATCATTCAGGATCTTCCACTTTTGGGAACTCTTGCTCTAGCATTCCAAACACTTGGTGTGGTGTATGGTGACGTGGGTACGAGCCCTTTGTATGTTTTTGCCGATGTATTTAGTAAGGTAACCATAGATTCAGAAATCGACGTCTTGGGAGCATTATCAATAGTGATATATACAATCGCTCTCATTCCTCTAATGAAGTATGTGTTTATTGTACTCAAGGCCAATGACAACGGAGAAGGTATGTGAGCATTTGACTACTTGGTCATACATTATTATTCAAAAACTACGCGCTATATCTCTGAAAAAAAGTTCTGATTAACATCGTTATGAATCTGATGGCAGGAGGAACGTTTGCACTGTATTCATTGGTCTGCAGGTATGCAAATGTGAGTCTTCTCCCGAATCGCCAGGCAGCTGATGAGTATATCTCCAGTTATAAGCTCAAAGTTCCCACACCAGAACTGGAAAGGGCTTTACATATAAAGGATGTACTGGAACGTAAATCCTCTCTTAAGACCATGCTCTTGCTATTGGTTCTCATGGGAACATCAATGATTATAGGGGATGGCATCTTGACACCAGCTATGTCAGGTACTTTCTTTACTAGCAAATCTCTTTTAATGGACAACGTTCTGTCTTGTTTCCAACCTCACTAGTTTGATTGTGGTGGGCTATACATCCATTCTGTTTCAAATATTGTTTCCTGAGCAATAGTTTTCCATTGCAGTGATGTCTGCTGTTAGTGGTTTGCAGGGTAAGATACCGGGTTTCGGAACAAGTAAGTGTGCTTTACAACTCTTTTTTCTCCACTCTAAGTAGTTTTTTAGAGTGAATCTTTTGATTCCCTTAAGTCCTTCAACGGTTGGTTTGCCTTAGAAAAGGATCCCCTGGTCAGCGGTTCAGTGGATACTGGATACACATTTGGCAAATAAAACATAAAAGTGCTGATGGCCCACCCACCAGATCTTTTATACTCCATAGAATACTTGAACTCCCTATCATACACTAAAATAGTGTTCATATTACAAATTTACAATACTTTTATCTTTTTCGCTCATGTGTATAATAGACACATATTTCCATCATCTCCGATGGAGCCAAAGATTCACTTTTTTTGTCTTTGGGGTATGATGTAATAGAAAAAGATGGCTCTTTAAACTTATGCACTTCTTTTATAGTGAAGTAGCAGTTAGTCAATGCAACTTTGGACGCTCATCATGGTTCATCGGGAAACAACCGCTCTATGTTTTAATCATAGGGGTTAGGCTGCATACATCTGGTCCCTCCTTACCCCGCAATGGGCAGGAGCCTTTGAGGCACTGGGGTAATGGTGTTGTTTACAGTAGGCACATCTAGTCTGCCTTTAACTGTCACTAAGGTCATGTTGTTTCTGTGTGTGGCGGTGGGGCCACGTCCATTGCAAATGGAGCTAAAAGAATCAAAGTGGCACATCACAATTTTCTTGCTTCTTGCTTCTTGCTTTCTATGAAGTTTTGGACAGTAAAGCCGTAAAGGTCTAACAGAAACAACCTCTCTGTTTTTTAAATGGGTTATGTTGTGTACATCTTGGCCCCCAGACTCCAACAGACCAACAGAGTTGGAATTAGATCTTGTTCTCTTCAACTTATTCTTACTACTTATTCTTATTGAAGTTAGATCACATCAAAAAGATTTAGATCAAATTAGAGCAGAAACAACTTTAATTTTAATTGGAAGTAGATCAGATCGAGATCAAGCTCTTTATACTGGGTTTCTTTTCGTTGGATGAGGGCGAGGTTTCATTATAAAGAAAACTGATACGTTTTACCTGCAGATGCTCTTGTTATCACTTCGATAGTCATCCTTGGAGCATTATTCAGCATACAACAGTTTGGATCAAGTAAAGTGGGTTTCACATTTGCTCCTGCCCTAGCTATCTGGTTCTTGAGTTTGGGTTCTATCGGAATCTACAACATGTTCAAGTATGATGTTTCTGTGGTAAGGGCATTGAATCCGGTTTATATCTATCTTTTCTTCTCAAAGAATTCAATCCAGGCATGGTCAGCTCTCGGCGGGTGTGTTTTATGCATCACAGGTAATAAGCCTTATATGCTCTTTTGGTTTACCTTATTTTTTCATAGCCACGTCTTGCATAAGTTTCATGTCTTTACCCACATTTCTAGGTTTATATTTTCTTTCCTGTTGCTGTGTACAATCCGAAAAGCTGGTTGTACCATACTACCATATGCATTTCTATGACTTCTATTTGCATTAATATCCCCTTATTTGGAAATTTTTTAATGTATTGTGCAGTTTTGCTATAGGTCCTGAGTATTCAATGATTTATTTACCCCTTAAGTTAATTATTATTGTTATGATTATTATTACTATTACGGATTATTATTATTATCTCTTAGTATATTTTATACATCTACTTTAAATTTTTAATAGAAAAAAATATTTGGTGTGCTTGTTCTGATATTGAATACACTATTGATATACTGTCTTTTTTTTGGGGTGAAGGAGCTGAAGCAATGTTTGCTGATTTAGGTCACTTCTCCGTGAGATCTATACAGGTTACATTCTGTTAACCCAGTGCTCCATTTTCAACCATTCACCTTCAACACTACTTCCATCACTGCTAACATTTTTTTATTTACTTTTTACGTTTCTTCACCACTGCAGATTGCCTTCACCGGCGCGGTCTTCCCCTGCCTTCTCTTGGCCTACTTTGGCCAAGCTGCATATCTCATGAAACATCCCAATTCGGCCAGCACAATATTCTATTCCTCCGTGCCCGGTAATATCCCACTACTGTTCATTCTATTTCTATTGGGAAAAAAAGAAATGATTTTGAGCATATATGCGCTTCATTTGACACTTGGGTAATGATGAACAAACAGATGGGATTTTCTGGCCAATTTTCGTGATAGCCACGCTTGCTGCTATAATAGCTAGCCAGGCCATGATATCTGCTTCGTTTTCATGTGTTAAGCAAGCGATGGCTCTTGGATGCTTCCCAAGACTCAAGGTAGTTCACACCTCGAAAAGGCACATGGGTCAGATTTATATTCCTGTAGTTAATTGGTTTCTGATGATCATGTGCATGGCTGTGGTTGCTGCTTTCAGAAGCACAACTCACATAGCAAATGCGTACGGTAAATCCCTAACTCTATCCTTGCTCGAATCACTTCCTTCTTGTCCATTATTGTTTCTTTGCGCACCGGTTGGGGTGTTGGCGTGTGACTTTGACACTACGGGTTTGATTCCTAGAAATGGCCTTTTTTACAGAAATGCAAGGTAACATTTGCCTACATATCACTATCATGGTGGGACCGTGATAGAGCACCCATTTAAGAGAAACCCCACCCACCCCTAGTCCGCCCCCTCCACCACACCCCGGTTGATTGTCACCTAAAAGAGGGGGGCTGGCTAGTGGTAGGGTAGGCTACAAGGGATGGGGGTTTATGAGGGGAGTAGGGACCACTTTGAGGTCGAACGGAGCACTCTAGAGCCCTCAAATGGACCCAACCCAATGTCATATTATGACATTCGTGCCCAATGTCAAAAGAACCAAAGCGGTTCACTAAATATGTTTATGTTAATTTCCTAAATCATGTGTTAGTAGGCTTGTTATTGTCTCTGTTGCAGGCGTAGCTGAAGTTGGGGTCATGTTGGTCAGCACCATAATGGTCACCCTAGTGATGCTTTTGATATGGAAAACAAACCTGTACCTGGCTCTATGCTTCCCTCTGGTGTTTGGGTCAATAGAGCTCTTGTACTTATCGGCTGTCCTATCCAAAATCCTGGAGGGCGGTTGGCTCCCACTCGCCTTTGCGTCTCTCTTCCTCTCTGTGATGTATGTCTGGAACTACGGGAGCGTGTTGAAGTACCAGGTCGAGTTCAAGCAGAGGATATCACTAGATTTCATGAATGACCTTGGCTCTACCCTCGGGACAGTTCGGGTCCCGGGGATCGGACTGCTCTACAACGAACTGGTCCAAGGCATTCCCTCAGTTTTCATCCAGTTCTTGCTTGACCTCCCAGCCATCCACTCGATCATCGTCTTCGTCTGCATCAAGTATGTCCAAGTACCCATTGTGCCCCAGGAAGAGAGGTTCTTGTTCAGAAGGGTGGGCCCCAAGGACTGCCACATGTTCCGGTGCGTTGCCCGGTACGGCTACAAGGACGTCAGGAAAGAAGACCACCACTCATTTGAGCAGCTCCTTCTGGACAGCCTCGAAACGTTCTTGAGGAAAGAGTCCCAAGAACTTGCCCTTGAGAGCCTCAGCCTCACAAACCAGACCCATGACGGGGATGCGATAATGGAGGAGGACCTGAAGGCTCCATTGATGCAGGACGACCGGAACAGGTTCCAAGAAACTGGGAGCTTGTTGTTGCCGGCTAGTGCCATGTCAGCGGATGAAGATCCAGGGTTGGAGTACGAACTCATGGCGCTGCGCGAAGCCACCGAATCGGGCTTTACGTACTTGCTCGGGCACGCGGACGTGAGGGCGAAGAAGAGCTCTTGGTTCCTCAAGAAACTGTCAATCAATTACTTTTACTCATTCCTGAGGAGGAACTGCAGGGGTGGGGCTGCAACTTTGAGAGTCCCTCACATGAATATAATCCAAGTTGGGAAGACATACATGGTTTGATTTTGGATTGCCATATGAAAGTGTATTAGAACACCAAAGTAGATGGATTGTTGTCAAGTTTGAAAAAAAAATAATTACCTTTATAAATTACATTGTAGTGAAAGAGCTCTGTTTTATAATGTTTTAGGTTCAGTTAAATAATGTACAAGATCAAAATGATGCACTGAAGTTTCCTTCTTACTTTTTGTGAAGTTTTGGGAAGTAAATATAACGACGCATCCAATTCGATTTCAAACAGAATTGAGATTATATTGAGTATTTAGGAAGTTTATTCAATAACTTAGTTATGAGTTGAGATAATTTAAATATTAATAGGACTAAGGTTTGAATTTGTTTTTAATAAACAACTAGTATTACACCCGTGCGTTGCACGGGTCATAGTTACGGTACTAACATAAGATCATTTTCAAGAATATAAATTGTTATATAATGGAATATAGATATTTCATTATTTTAAAGTACAAAAGTAAAATGATTTACAAATTTTGAAAGACTTCTTTATAAACTACATCACTCGTATGTATAATTTGTGTGAGCATTCACTTCGTTGTATATCAGAATCTTCAAGTCATTGCGATTTATTACTCTTTAAACTGCAATATACACTTTCTCATGACTAAATACCAGTTTCCATAACAATAATTCAATATGTTTCAGATATTATTCTTGATAATAATTCAATAATTTGACTTATCTAAGTAATAATTCAACATATTAATGTATTTATTTTGGAATTTATATTTTTTAATTTTATTTTCGTATTTAAGTGGTACCATTAACTTACCCTATGGTATTTATTTTCTATTTTATTTTAGATAACTTACCATTTTTACACGTACCCATGCTTGTAAATTATAGTATCAATAGTATTTATTTTAGAATACTTATACCATTGTTACATGTTTCCATGCTTATAATATTAATAGTATTAATTTATAATTTTTTAATTTTTGCATTTTAATGGTACCATTTGCTTAATGTACCATATTTATTTTTTAATTTATTTTATAACAGTTACCATTTTTACACGTTACCATGCTTGTAAATTGTAGTATTAATTGATAGTATTATTTTGTAGTTTTCTATTTTATTTTTTTATTTAAATGGTATCATTTACTTACCGTACCGTATTTATTTTCTAATATATTTTAGAATACTTATCGTTTTAATAATTATTTTATTTTCTAATTTATTTAGAACACTTACATAAATTATTTTAGAACACTTACCATTTATTTTATTTTGTGTTTAAATGGTATCATTTGCTTATCGTGGTGACATACCATCCCGTATTTATTTTCTAATTTTCTAATTTGAACACTTATCTTTTTTAAAAAAATCATGTTTTTAAAGTATAGTATTAATATTAATTTTGCAGTTTTTTAATTTATTTTCGTTTTAAATCGTACTAATTACTTACCAAACCACATTGTTTTCTAATTTATTTTAGAACACTTATCATTTTTAGATGTACTCTCTCTGTCCCTAAATAGATTACAATTTTTTTCTCTCCTCTCGATAACTTTTGTTTGTTTACGCGATTTCATTAAGTATTTGATAAAATAAAATATTCTTATCACTTCTTGTTTTGTAGAACTTTTGACGTAGTTGTTTAATATATAATTTTTATATCTTATTGATATATCAATTTGTAAATAAAATGATTTCAAAAAGTAAGAAATTTTACTCCGTAACCCGGAATTTGTAATGAAATTGGGGACTGAGGGAGTATTTTATTTTCTCTTTTATATTAGAACACTGACCTAATTTATTTTAGAAAACTTACCTTTTTTTTATTTTCGTTTTAAATGGTGCTAATTGATTACCATACCATATCTATTTATTTTCTAATTTTCTAATAAGAACATTTGTCATTTTTAAAACGTTTCCATTCTTTTAAATTATAGTATTAATATTAATTTGTAGTTTTTTATTTTATTCTTTTAGTTAAATGTTATCATCTACTTACCGTACCATATTTATTTTTTAATCTATTTTAGAAAACTTACCATTTTTACGCGTTTGTGCTTGTAAATTATAATATTTTTTAATGATAAATAATTAATTTGTAGTTTGTTTGAAATAAATCATTTTAATCCTGCCCATACTATATTAATTTGTAATTTTTAAATTTTATTTTAATATTTAAATGCCAGTGTATTTTATTTCCATATTTCAATTCCCCAATGGTTCACTATTATTTAATTTAATTTAATTTAAATGCTTAAATGGTGTAACATTTAAATAAAAATAAAAATAAAAACATACTTAAAATGGAAGGAAAACATTAAGGTAAAATAATAAAACTACCATTTATGTTGTCAACATTTTTCATATATGAGTGTCATGCATGGGCGGGAAAAATTCATGTCTTTTTAAATAATGTATAGATAATGAGCTAGGATTAAGAGTATAAATACCAAATTTTGAATTCTTACCGTAAATGATTTGTGCGAGTCCACACGATCCATTAGATTTAATATAAGGTTATATGAGTAAATAAAAAAGAAAAGAAAGAAAAAAATGAACAAACGGGATGACATATTTATAAATAAGTCAAACTTAGCTCTGAAGTAAAAAAAAAAAAATGCACTACTTTATTCATAGAAGTGCACAAATCATAAACACATTTTGCAAAAAAAAAAAAAAATCTAATCAAACTATTTCAGGACCAACATACATGTACTTATAGGACCAAGAGAAGTACAAATGATGAGTTTTTATATTTTGTACGGAGTAACATTTGTATTTGTTATCCTAGTTTTTCTCTTAATGATCAAAGTTCTTTTGATCAGTGAACCCAAGATCATATTATGATCGGAACACATACACTTACACTGCTCTGTTTGTAAAAATGATGGTTCCTACTCCCTAACCCCTGCCCCCTGCATCCCACCTTAACACTCCCTTCCTCCACTCTGAATCACCAATTTAGGCAGCCCAAATAAGTGCTGGGGTGGAGGCTTTAGGTAATAAGAATCAACAATTTTACAAAATACCGTAAGTCTCCCAAGTCATAATATGACTTTGATTTTCAAGGTAAAAAAAACCGCTCGATTGTCTTACATAATATACCCGTACATGGAAATAGACATTTTTTAACTAATAAAACTCATGTAACTAAAATTAAAAACTCTAACATGTCTATTCCACCACATCTTTCTCCACCTCAAATACTTCTTCAATTCAACATTCTTCAATCTCTTAACTCTCTCCATTTTTGAACGCACATTCATCCCCCCAAAAAGCGTTCTTCTTTTCATCCCTACAAACTCTTATAACCACACTTTTCCCCATCATTTCTCAACCTCAATTCCCTCTAATTTTTTTGTTATAAATAGGCCTCAGATTCTTCACTTTTTAATCACCATCATAAAACCCAATTAAGGTGGGGATCAAAGGTATCCCAATAAGAGACCCCATCCCAAAGTTGTAATAATATCAATTATAATAATAATTTAATTTTTAAAAAAATATTAAAAAAATGGGGTCCGGTGATGCCGGGAGCAAGAAAAAGATAGTGATCGCCGGGGTGGCTTCCGTTCTATTGGTGGCGTGCGTGGTGGCGGCCACCGTCACTGTCCGCGGCACCCACGGCGGTAGTTCGTCGTCCGGTGAGGGTTCTGGGTCGGGCGAGATTTCGACGTCGACGAAGTCCGTGAAGGCCATTTGTGCCCCGACGGATTTCAAAGAGACCTGCGAGAGGAGTCTGGCGAGCGCCAAGAACACAAGTGACCCTAAGGAGCTCATCAAGTTGGCGTTCACCGTGACGGTGAAGAACGTCTCCGACGCCATCTCCAAGTCGGCGCTCCTCAACAGCGCCGCCAAGGATCCCCGGACCTCCGGCGCGTTGGACACGTGCAAGGAGGTCCTGGAGGACTCTATTGATGACCTCCAGAGGTCCTTCGAGAAGCTCGAGGATTTCGACCTCTCGAAGATCCAGGAGTACGCCAGCGACCTCAAGGTCTGGCTGAGCGGCGCCATCACCCACCAGCAGACTTGCATCGACGCCTTCGAGAACACCACCGGCGACACCGGCGAGAAAATGAAGCAACTCCTGAGGACCTCCGGCGAGCTCACCAGCAATGGCCTCGCCATGATCACCCAATTCACCGACCTCATGCAGACCCTGGAGATCCCCGGGCTCAACCGGAGGCTCCTGGAGGCGGCTGACAGTGACGTGATTGAGAGCGGGTACCCGACTTTTCTCGACGCCTCCGCCCGCCGCCTCCTCGCTGCTCGTCCTGCTTCCATCAAGCCAGACATTGTGGTGGCCAAGGACGGGAGTGGGAAATATAAAACGATCAACGACGCCCTGAATTCGATTCCCGCCAAAAATAACCGAACCGTCGTCGTCTTCATCAAGGCCGGCGTGTACGAGGAGTACGTGTTGGTCCCGAGGAAGATGAGGAAGGTCGTCTTCGTTGGCGAGGGTCCCACCAAGACCAGAATCACTGGGAACAAGAACTACATCGACGGGATCGGGACCTACAAGACCGCGACCGTGGCCATCCAGGGCGACGGGTTCATCGCCCGGGACATCGGGTTCGAGAACAGCGCCGGCCCGACAAAGCACCAGGCCGTCGCGCTCCGCGTGTCCGCAGACACAGTCGCGTTCCACAACTGCCACATGGACGGGTACCAGGACACCCTCTACGCGCACTCCTACCGCCACTACTACCGCGACTGCACCATCACCGGCACAATCGACTTCATCTTCGGGAACGCGGCCGCCGTGTTCCAGAACTGCAAGATGGTGGTGAGGAAGCCCCTGGAGAACCAGGCCTGCATGGTGACCGCGCAGGGGAGGAAAGACCACCGCGGGGTCGGAGGCCTGGTTCTCCAGAACTGCGAGATCCTCCCGGACCCAGCCTTGAAGACGGTTGACCCTCCGGTCCAGGTCTTCCTCGGAAGGCCATGGAAGGAGTTCTCGAGGACGATCATCATGCAATCGTACATCGACGGGTTCATCGCCCCCGAGGGGTGGTCCCCGTGGATGGGTACCTTTGCGTTGGACACGTGTTGGTACGCGGAGTATCAGAACCGGGGCCCGGGAGCGAAGCTCAACAGTAGGGTGACCTGGAAGGGATATAAGAAGAACATAACCCCACAAGTGGCCAAGCAGTTCACCGCCGGAGTGTTCCTTCAGGGAGACGATTGGATTAAACCCACTGGTATCCCCTACGAATCTGGGATGATGAAGGTGTAGAATAATTTGATTATGGAAAATATTAAATTGTAATTTCTATGTTTGTATACATCATCATTCAATTTTAAAAAATATGAAATTTGGT